TTCGGAATCCAAAACCTTGATTCCAGCAATAATTAATTCCGGACGGAGGTAGAACAAAACTGAATGGTAAAATTTAAGTTCATATGTGAAGACAAGAATAACCCTCTTTTACCTTACATATCTCGGCACATGGTTTTCAAACTAACGTTTCACAAATAGATGGTGCCATGGCCAAGAGTACATGTCCAGTTTATACGCATCCCTCAGGTCACCTGTGAAAATCTCCTGAGAAGTACGGAAATCGAAGAAAATAGATGGTGTCATGGGTACAAGTCTAGTTTATACACATCCCTCAGACCATCCATGAAATTCTTCTGAGCAATACGGAAATTGAACGAAATGGACGGTCCAGGGGTACAAATCATGTTAACATTATGCGAACTATTGTTTTTCCTTATTCCGTATCAACATCACTCCGACTAAGATCGCTAAAACCACACGTATCTGTATATAGCCATTTGCTTAACACAAAACTGATGCTAGATTTTGCGCCTGTTATATTTTGCAGAACAGCAGAAGTATGATGCAATGTTTGAGAATAATGACTGCGACTGAACCTTACATATAAAGTGAATGTGGATGGTTCGTCAGACCAAACAATGCCTGAATCTGTATATCATAGTCCCGACATAGCAAGCTTATGTAGGCTAAGTTACATTGAAGTGTTCAGTTTAATGGTTGATGCAGAAAAATATCACTATTTCAATTGAGTTGATTGCAACAGTACCCCAGCAGTGGAGATTCTTTTTTAGAGAAAAGGGAGTGGAGGTTCTTGTGCTTTGACGCAGGAAAACATGCCGGGCCGGCCATGCTGTTGGCCCACATAGAAACTGCACCCGGCCACCCTAAGCAGTTGAATTCTTATACATGCTCGGTGTGCACTAACGTACAAAGAAACTGCAGCAGGCCGGCCAGGGACCGCAAGCCCTCTTCGATGTGCCACATGGCATGATCAGGAGGCAACTGCTTTGTCACCTTGTACATGCTATTGTTACTGTTATCTATTTTTAATGACAAGTTGCATGCATTAATGTTTTGAAAAACTTGATACAGTAAAGATATGTTCTAAATTGTGCTAGTAAGAGAACACAGGGGATCTCGTTGACAAGGCCACAAACACATCTGGCATCACAAATGCTCACGAGACTAGGCAGAAAAAACAGAGCAAGCATCTAGCATGTGAAGGGAAAATGAGATACCATTGTCGTTTCTATATTTGTAAGGCAACAACCTGATGGTGAAGGCCAAAAAGATATTCCGAAAGATTCTCTAGGAACTCTCTGCAAGTGCTTCCTTGTCATTAAGAAAACATTGTACTGACCTCTGGGCCCTCTTAGCAGGTCAGATTAATTCTCACAAAACCTCTGAAGCTGTACACTGAATACTTTATTGCAGTGGCTTGGTTTCAAAGTCATCAGCATCATGGCTAATAATTTTACGGCAAGAGGGTCCTTCCACCATGGCGCCACACCTGGCTCTCTTAAGGAAAACAAACACATTTGGTTCAGAACAAGAAAACAAACACATCTGGCTCCTTTCTAGTGAAAAAACTAGGCGATGACATTTGTCGCAAAGAGAAGATGATCTACGATGTTATATATCATTCTCGGGGGTCTGGTTAGTGGTT